AGGAATTTGTCTTGGTGCAAATGTTCTCAGTATACATAAAAGAAAAGGTACATTTGTCAAGAATCATCAGGTACAACATTTAATAATAGTCATAGGGTACAATAAGCATCAAATTATACTAGGAAACAGTCAATATAAATAGTAAGGATACAAGTGTCAAAGTTATAGTCATACAGTCACAAGTGGGAGGGGATGGGTGATAAGGAGTGATGAGAAGATGAATAGTAATAGTAGTGCAGACTTTGTAAATAGTTGGACAGTGTTGAGGGAATTATTTATTTAGCAGAGTGATGGCTTTTGGGAAAAAACTGTCCTTGTGTCTAATTCTGGTGTGCATTGCTCTATATGTCATGTTGGGTTGCAGAACCAAACCAGACAGTTATAGAGGTGCAGATGACAGACTCAGTAATTCCCCTGTAGAACTGTATCAGCAGCTCCTTGGGCAGTTTGAGCTTTCTGAGTTGGTGCAGAAAGAACCTTATTTGTTGTGCTTTTTTGATGACGTTTTTGATGTTAGGAGTCCATTTTAGGTCTTGTGATATGATAGAACCTAGAAATTTGAAGGCTTCTACTATTGATACTGTGTTGTCTAGTATTGTAAGAGGTGGTAGTATGGGAGAGTTTCTCCTATTTCTACAATATGTCTAGAATTAAGTGTAAGAACGATAATGGGGAGGAGGGGTGGTACTATGAGGCATCAACCCATCACGATGGAAACAAAGATGGAGAAATTCCAGAGGATGGGCCTAAGCTATCACCCTCAGCTATTCTGACACACTCTACAATGAGGTAAATTGAGAACCCTAGCCTAGATTAACAATCAAACAAAATAAGCATGGGCTTAGGGTACTAAAGGAAGAGGGCATTGCAAAGACTTGGAGAGCCAATAATTTGTTGCAGTGGTGGTGAAAGTGCCAACCTAGAAACACTAGGCCTCCCTTAGGCTTGGAAGTCAGCTGGGTGCTTTTGGACAGTCACTTTCTGTAAATTGAACTCCTCTCACAATATTATTGTGGGAGAAAATAGGAGGCAAGAGTATTAGATATGGTTGCCACCTTGAGTTTATATACGTATATAAAAAGATGGGATAAGAATTTAATTCTGTAGTAATAATTTAGATGACTTTGAAATGGGTCATGAACTACAGGTAGTTCCCAACTTACAACCGTGCATTGAGTGACCATTTGAAGTTACAACATCATTGGAAAAAAAGCGACTTATGACCGGTTTTCACTTACAACCATTGGAGCATCCCCATTGTTACATGACCATAATTTAGATGCTTGTCAATTGTCATGTATTTATGACAGTGTCCCGGGGTTATGTGATCACGTTTTGTGACCTTCTGAAAAGCAAAATCAGTGGAGAAGCCAGATTCACTTAACAACTGTGTTACTAACTTAAGAACTGCAGCGATTCATTTAGCAACTGTGGCTAGAAAGGTCATAAAATCAGGCAAAACTCAGTTAACAACTGTCTCGCTTATTAACAGAATTTTGGGGCTCAATTGTGCTCATAAGTCGAGGACTACCTGCATCATATGTCCTTCTCCATCCCTAAACTGCCAACAGCACTTAAATTCCAGATGTATAAGGGTTTGTTGCCATACACTTTACACTCCTTTGTATAATTGAGCAAAATTTACTTAACTGGCTTGCTTGGCAGCTGAAATGTTGGACTCAGTTTTAGTCCTAAATCAAAGGCTACCTTTATGTTGCTTTGGCTTTTTTTTAAAGTACTATATTTGAATGCTTAGAGCACTGTTGTGAAAAATCCCTCTAAGTTTATACACATGACAATATTGGGAGACACAGTAATTGTGATTGATGTAACATCTCTGAGGTTCTCCCAAAGGTGCTTTTTTCAAGAGGCAACTGGACTTTCTGGCTTTTCTTTGAAGACGTTTTGCTTCTCATCCAAGAAGCTTCTTCAGCTCTGACTGGATGGAGGGGAATGGAAGGATTTATACTCCTTGCAGACAGCTGGTCATTTGCACCCTTTTAACAAGTTAATCTTTAAAGTCTTTGAACAGTTTGAAAAAAGCCATCTATGTCAAAATTGAATAGCCCACTCTTAACAGAGGAGGAGGGATGTGACATTACCTATCTTCAATCTACAACAGTCTTTTCAGCAGTTCTAAGAAGGCTCCACACCCATTGGCACCACTCAGGTGACCCTGAGGACACAGATAAACCTCCAGGTGGCCTCAACGACTTGCTAAAAGAATGCAAATGACCAGCTCTCTGCAAGCAGCATAAATCCTTCCATTCCCCTCCATCCAGTCAGAGCTGAAGAAGCTTCTTGGATGAGAAGCGAAACGCCTTCAAAGAAAAGCCAGAAAGTCCAGTTGCCTTTTGAAAAAAGCACCTTTGGGACAATCAGGACTTGGATGACTTGAGACTCTCCACAGACATCTCTGAGGTTCTGCGGTTCCTTTCCACTCTGATTCAAATAAAGACTTCAGCCTGCAGATCCCTTCCAGTAGTTTAATCTTTATATCATGCTGGCTCAAATTTTTCCAAGCATAAAAATGCTTTTTCAGTTTGCCAGTACTTTCATCTTCCTTTTCTCACGCTTTATAAGACAGAGAAGTCTGGTTTGGTTGGACCCAAAGCCAAATGGTGCAAGTCTTGGAGCTTCTTCAGAACAATGGTACTTGTCAACTCTTAGTTTTGATTATTTTTGTTTCTTTCAGACAAACTAGTAAAGAAGGGAAAGAAGGATAAAAAGACGAAAAAATCGGTAAGTTTTAGTCTTGCTGCTTGAAGGTTTTACCATAGCTATTTTTAGTCAAGAAAAACTAGCGTTTCTCAATAGTAGTAGCACTTAGATTTATATACCACTTCATAGGTTTTTATGTCCTTGTAAGTTGCCATTTGCAAGTAGGCAGCAATATACATTTTCTAAATAAAATAAATAATAGTGCTTTACAGCCTTCTCTAAGTGGTTTAGCGAGTCAGCATACTGCCCCCAACAACCTGGGTCCTAGTTTCACCATTCTTGGAAGGATGGAAGAGTGTTTTGTAGTCTTTAGGACAGGGGTCTTCAAACTTGACAGCTTTAAGTCTTGTGGACTTCAACTCCCAGAGTTCCTCCTCCAGTCATGTTAGCTCAGGAATTCTGGGGGTTGAAGTCCACAAGTCTCAAACTTGCCAAGTTTGAAGACCTTTGCTTTAGGGCAGTGTTTCCCAACCTTAGCAACTTTAAGACTTGTGGACTTCAACTCCCAGAATTCCTCAGGCAGCCATTCTGGCTGGGGAATTCTGGGAGTTGAAGTCCATCTATCTTAAAGTTGCCACAGTTGGGAAACACTGCTTTAGGGCAGTGGTCCCCAACCTTTTTTATGCCGCGGCCC